AGTATAGTAAATAGGAGTAGTTGCCAATGATAGTAATAGTTGTGAGTCTCGTTATCATTCGTTTTCATCATTTTCCTTATTTCTCTTCGTTCTTTCTCTTCTCTTCTTGTCTTCTGATTATAATTTTTCTTATCATTCCTCTTTTTTGTTTTTTGTTTCTCGTCTTCCTCTTATCCGTCATATTATCATTTAATTCGGCAATTTCATCATTATTGACGTTATTCCTATTATCATTATCGTAATGACATCGTAATAATAACAAAAAATAATTACAACTAATTAATATATAACAATAATGCTAATATTAGTTATAACAACATCAACACAAAAAATAACGAACAAAAAATAAAACCCAATAAAATTATAACCATTCAGTCACGGTCTAATTTAAAGAGCCATAGAAAACGAGAACCATTAATGAGAACCATTTAAGAGAGCCATAGAAAACGAGAACCCTTAACGAGAGCCATAGAAAACGGGAAACCATAGAGAGCCCATAAGAAAACGGGAACCTTTAACGAGAGCCATAGAAAACGGGAACCTTAATAGACCATAGAAAACGGGAAAACGAGACCCATAGAAAACGAGAACCATTAACTGAACCATAGAAAACGAGGAATACAGTAACGAGAGCCATAGAAAACGAGAACCTTTACGAGGGCCCACAAAAAAACGGAAACCATTAACGAGAACCATTTAGAAACGTAACCATTTAAGGAGAACCTTAAAACGGCAGCCATAATAGAAACGGGAACCACTTAAGCGAACCATAGAAAACGGGAAGCGCCAGACAGATCCAAAAGGTGCCATGACCGCATCTTCACCGCAGTCCCAGACGGTCCTCAGGTGGCGCTATCCTGGCTCTTCCCTCGGGGCCCGGAGTTGGCACTGGCGGGCTCCCGAGGCACTCGCTAATGCCTGGCACGTGATGGCTATTTTTAAAGCGTCTCGATTCTGATTCGGATTTATTGGTTGTTATGATTGAGGTTGTGTGGGAGGGGGGAGGGAGGTGAGAGCGATTTTGTATTTGTATTTTGTATTTTTTTTTTTTTTTTTTTTTTTTTGATTGTTGGTCGGTTTTCTTAACTTTGTTTATTGAATTAATTAATATATTTGTTTATTTGTTATCATATCATCATCATCATGGTGATGTTAATAACAGAATAATGATAATGGGATTGTTGTGATGGTTATTATTATTACTCTTATTATTAATATTATCAATATTATTATTATTATTATTGATTTTGTTGGTCATCATCACGATCATGAGAATTATCGTCAGTAATTGTATTATTAGATTTACTACTACTTCTACCCCTACCCCTACTCCCACCCACACCCCAACCCAAATCCACCTCACCCCCCCCTCCAACCCCTACACCCCACACTTCCCACACTTCTTCCCACACTTCCCGCCCCACCCCACCAGCCCACTCTCCTACCCACTTCCACTTTACCCCACCGCCACCCTTACCCCCTCCCCCACCTACCCACCCCACCCTTCCCCACCACCCCACCCCTCCCTTCACCCACTTCACCTCCCCCCCACTTCCAGTCCCCCCACCCTCCCACCCCACCCCTCCCCTCCACCCACTTCACTTCACCCGCACCCCTCCAGCCCACTCTCCTACCCCACTTCCATTTCACCCCCCATCACTTAACCCACCCACCCACCCCTCACCCTCCAACCCACTTTCCTACCCACTCCACCTCACCCCCCTCCACCCACCCCCTACCCACTTCCACTTCCCCCCCCCCCCTCCAGCCCACACCCCTACCCACTTTCACTTCACCGCCCCCCCCCAGCCACTCTCCTACCCCACTTCCTTCACCCACCCCACCTCACCCCACTTCCACTTCCCCTGCGGTAGTGTTGCAGCTCAAACCCCAGCTGTGATCAATACAGGACGGTTGTGATCCATGTCCTTCAGGCACGGTGGGCGGGGCTTATCGAGGGGGTCAGAGGTCATCAAAGGTCAGGAAGGTCGGTAGGACACTTGGGTGGGCGGGGCTTATCGAGGGGGTCAGAGGTCATCAAAGGTCGGAAGGTTTGGGTGGGCGGGGTTAGATGAGGGGTCAGAGGTCATCAAAGGTCAAAGATCGGGGAGGTCATAGAGGTCAGATAAATGGCTTTGTCAGAAAAGGAGAAAAAGGTCGTTATTGTAAATTATCTTAATTAATAATTAATTAATTATTTACGATATAACCTCAGCGATATGAGCTTAGTGACCTTATGGTGTTGGTCATGTTCGGAATATTAAAATAGTTCAGGAATATGGAACTTGGAATATCTGAATGTGTCTGAATACTGTTAGGTTAATTTTGGTACGTTATTTTAATTAATAGCGTAAGTGCTAACCATGTTTTGTTATTTATATAATGCTAGTAATTATATAATACATATAATATAATTTGAACATAATGTAAAGTCACTGATATGAGGACAGTAAAGTAAATTATTGATTTAAAAAAACTCATTTATTGATCTAATTATAGCAGTCTTTTGTATTGATAATAGTTATGATGATCTGTAACTGTAATAATTAAGGAATTCTTAAATATCAGTAAAATTTAAGGAATTCTTCAATATCAGTCAAATTTAAAGAATTCTTCAGTAATAATTGAAAGAACTCTTCAATATCCTAAATATTAAAAGAATGGAAAGGTAAAATCCACTGAACTAAATAACTTTGTCTCTTACGTAAGGAAATGGTTAAACCTGTTTTTTTCTTTTTTTTCTTTTTTTTTCTTTTTTTTTTCTTTTTTGGGATGTTAACGATTTTTTCTTCTTTCCTTTTTTTTCTTTTTCTTTTTTTCTTTTTTTTTTGTTTTTTTTTTTTCCTTTTTTCTTTTTTTCCTTTTTTTTCTTTATTGGGATAACGATTTTTTTCTTTCCTTTTCTTTTTTTTCTTTTTTTTTGGAGGGAGTGAGTTTTTTGTCAAAAAGGTTAAACAAACCGTTAGAACCTATTTCTAGAATTTTCCACCTTTTTTCTATTTAAAAAAATGGGTGACGGTTATATTCATATCAGTACGTTTGTTGAACAGATGTTTCCATTGGTTAATTTCTTTTTATTTTAATGAGGATTGGTCAAAAGTTTTTTTTTCTGTAAATAACACAAACGTTTGAGATATTTTTCATTGTCAAATATATTATAGAGGAATATATACAATTTTTATGTACGTTGTGACTCGGCTTAACTTATCAAGCTGCTTTTGAAATTTGCAATTCGATTTTACAGTATCTTTGCAATGAAACCGATCAATTTTTTTAAAGGGAATAGTTTGTTATTGATGGTAATAATGATAAGACATACGCAAAACCGATAAAACCTGAGAAAAAGAACACCTAAAAATGGAACGACAAAAATCATCTGGCAACTGAAAATACAAATACATATGACAACGTTTTTCTATTCGCCAATAATAACAAACATACATAAAACCCGACAAATCTCCCCCATCCCTCTCAAAAAAACGAAAAAAAAACTAACAAGATCAAACTCTAAAACCTAAAAATAAAACGAAAATAAATAAAACCAGCGGGCAACCGCGAGCCTAAGAACAATGGCGGTTGCCAAGTGTGTTATTATTGTCAACCGCAGCCGGAGCAGAGACAAGAAGAATCTGCCGACGAGATTCTCAAGCTCTCTGCCAGGAGATGAGACTCTTGGCAAATGGAGCAGATCTTTTGGGGAGGAAAAGAGATAGCGGAGGCTGCGGTAGGGGGGGAGGGGGGAGGGGAGAAGTCGAAGAAATGGAAGAAACGGTTCTTTTTTCGAGGGAGGGGAGGGGGAGTTGCCGGTTTGTTTGTTTTTTTTTTATTTGATTTATTTTGATATCTATTTATCTATTCATTTGTTTTGTCTTTTGGGGAGAAAAGACTTTGCGGAGGCTGTGGTAGGGGGGAGAGGGGAGAGGGAGAGGTCGAAGAAACGGAATAAAACGGTTATGTTTTAGAGAAAGGAGGGTGAGTTGCCGATTTGTTTGTTTTTTATTGATTATTTTGTTATCTATTTATCTGTTCATTTATTTTGTCTTTCGGAGAGGAAAAGAGTTTGCGGAGCTGCGGTTGGGGGGGAGGGGAGAGTCGAAGAAACGGAAGAAAACGGTTATGTTTTAGAGGAGGGGGGGGAGTTGCCGATTTGTTTGATTTTATTGATTTTTTATATCTATTTATCTATTCATTTGTTTTGTCTTTTGGGGAGAAAAGAGTTTGCGGAGGCTGCGGTAGGGGGGGGGGGGGAGGGGAGAGGTCGTAGAAGTGAATAAAACGGTTATTTTTTAAAGAAGAGAGGTGAAAGGTTGCCGGTTTGTTTGTTTTTATCAAGCTATTTTATTTACCTTATTTATCTATTCACTTGTTTATTTGTCTTTTGGGAGAAAAGAATTTGTAGAGGCTGCGATTCTTTCGGTAGGGGGGGAGGGGGAGGGGTAAAGGTCGCAGAAATGAATAAAACGGTTATTTTTTAAGGAAAGGAGGTGGAGTTACCAGTTTGTTTTATTTTTTTAATTTTTCTAATTATCTATTTTTTTCTGTTTCATTTGCTTCGTGAATCACTCATTTTCTTATCAATTCCTTTTTAACATCATCTGTCCATCACTAGAATCTGAATGGAATTACTTTGGAACCATCGTATATAGATTTATGGTTAATTGAACTTGATTAATTTTATTGCTTCTCATTTTCTCTCCATTATCATATATTTATATATTATGAACGTGTTAATTTTCTTGATTATTTATATTGTTTTCTTTCATCATTTATCTTATATCTTATATCATTACTGACTTATTTAACCTAATTATTCCTATTTTTCTTTTCTCTCCGTATCTTCTATCTCGTTGAATTTATCGACTTAATTTCTCCGATCTTCTATCTCGTTGAATTTATCGACTTTAATTTCTTATATTAATTTTTATTCCTCCCCCCCCCTGCAGGCTCCCGTGGAGAGGAAAGCCCTGGACCTCACCCCCCTGAGGGAGGCGAAGCTGCCCGTTATCTTTGTTCTGGGTGAGTTGAGGGGGAGGAAGAGGTAGAGGATCATCATTATCATTGTCACTGTCACTGTCACTGCCATTCACTGTCACTGTCACTTCACTGCCATTGTCATTGTCACTGTCACTGTCACTGCCATTGTCAACTGTCACTGTCATCCATTGTCAGTCACTGCCATTGTCACTGTCACTGTCACCCATTGTCACGTCACTGCTATGTCACTGTTACTTCATTGTCACTTTGTCACTTGCCATTGTCACTGTCACTGTCACTGCCATTCCTGTTACTGCCATTGTCACTGTCACTGTCACTGTCACTGTCACTGTCATTGTCATTATCATCAACATCATCTATCACCAGCACCACCCTCACCATCACCATCACGACCAACGAAGTATAACCAAGACAAGGTCGCCAAAGTTGATACCCAAGGTTTAAAAAAATCACTTGAATTGTCTTGGCTTGCAACTTGGCACAAAAAAAACTTAGTCAAACTTGGTGTCACTTGGTGTCATTTGGTCACTTGGTGTCACTTTGGTGTCACTGAATAAAGGGGGCATTAAGTGGGTATAAGTTAAAAGTGTGAGGAGGACAGGGAAGATAAGAGATATGTGGAAGATGGGAGGGAAGGGGTAGGAGGAGGTGGTGGAGAAGAAGAGGAGGAGGAGGTGGTGGTGAAGTAGGAGGAGGAAGTGAGTATGAGGAGGAGGAGGAGGAGAAGAAAATGGAAGGAATAGGAGGAGAGAAGCAGAAGTAAAAGGGAGAGCAGGAGAAGAGGAGTTGGAAAATTAGAAAAAAAACATGAGAATAAACAGAAAACACATACAACCCCCCCCCCCACACACACACACACACCACAAAACACGACCTAACCTAATCTCATCATTTTCTCTCTCTCCCTCGAAAATTAGAAAAAAAGAACATGAGAATAAACAAAGAAAACACATACAACCCCCCCCCACACACACACACCCACACACCCCACCACAAACAAAACAAAACCGAACCTAATCTCACCCCTTTTCTCTCTTCTCTCCCTCTCTCCCTCTCCCCCCCCCTCCTCCCTCTCTCCCTCTCTCTCCCTCTCTCCCCCCCCCCCTTCCTCCCCACAGGCGGTCCAGGATGCGCAAGGAAGAACACAGTGTGAGAAGATCGTCAAGCAGTATGCTAACTACACCCACCTTTCCTCCGGTGACCTGCTCAGGACGAGGTCAAGTCGGGTCAGAGCGTGGCAAGGCGCTCAACGAGATCATGGAGAAGGGGGACCTGGTTCCGCTGGTGCGCTGATTTGGTTGTTGTTGTGTTATTATTAGTTATTATGTTTATTATTATTATTATTAGTGTATTATTATTATTATTATTATTATATGATTATTATTATTATGCTTTTATTATTATTGTATTATTATTATTCATTATTATTATTATTATTATAATTATTATTATTACTATTATTATTATTCTATTATTATTATTTATTATTATTGTTTTATTATTATTATTATTATTATTATATATTATTATTATTATTATTATTATTATATTATTATTATTATTATTATTATTTATCATTATTTATTATTATTATTATCATTATTATTATTATTATTATTATTATTATTATTATTATCATTATTATTATATTATTATTATTATTATTATTATTATTTATTATTATTATTATTATTATTAATTTTATTATTATTATTATTATCATTATTATTATATTATTATCATTATTATCATTTTTTATTACTATTCTATTACATGGAACATTATTCATTTGATATTATTACTCAATTTAAAATTTTTATCATTATTCTAGAAAAAAAATCACATTGAAACAAAACTCCTTTATTTATGACCTTGACCTTGACCCCTCTTCCGCTATCCAACAGGAGGTCGTGCTTGACCTCATCGCCGAGGCCATGCTCAACAAGGTGTCCTCCTCCAAGGGGTTCCTGATCGACGGCTACCCGAGAGAACAGGCTCAAGGTGTTCAGTTTGAGCAGTCTGTAAGTGGCTTGGTGTCTGTCTGTCTGTTTGTGTGTTTGTGTGTTTGTGTTTGTGTTGGTTCTGTTTGTGGGAGGGGGTGTATGTATGGGTGTGTGTGTTGGTTCTGTTTGTGGGGTGTGTGTATGTATGGGTGTGTGTGTGTGTTGGTTCTGTTTGTCTGTATGATGGGTGTGTGTGTTTGTGGTTCTGTAAGTGTTGTGTCTGTCTGTCTGTATGCATGTGTGTTTGTGTTTGTGTTGGTTCTGTTTGTGGTGTGTATGTCTGTATGGGTGTGTGTGTGTTTGTGTATGTGCGTGTCTGTCTCTGTTTCTCGGTCTTTGGCTTTGATTTTTTTTATCTTTCATTTTCTTTCTTTTTTTCTATATTTCTCTGTTTTGTTTTATCTCTCTCTATCTTCCTTTTAAATTACTATATTTGTCTTTTCCTTTCTTTCTCTTCCTTTCTTTCTCTCTCTCTCCATCTTTCTCTCTTCTTTTCTGTCTCTCTTTCTCTCTCTCTCTCTCTCTCTTTATCTTTCTCTCTTCCTTTCCTTCTCTCTTCCTTTCTTTCTCTCCCTTTCTTTCTCTCTGCCTTTCTTTCTCTTCCTTTCTATCTCTCTTCCTTTCCTTATCTTTCTTTCTCTCTCTTTCTATATTTCTTTATCTTTCGTTCTCTCTATTTCTTTATCTCTCTTTATATCTTTCTTTCTCTCCCTCTTTCTCCCTCTCTCTCTTTGTCTAGACTCTTTCCGCTGTCTTCTAATATATATCTAATATATAATCTTCAAATATATTTAATACGATTAAAAAGCTACTCCAGTGTTGATAATAAAAATAATATGTATAATGATTATACTAATAATAACGTTGACGATAATGATAATGACAGTTACAAATATTAATGATGATGATGATACCCCGTTAGCGAGACCTTATTCTACTACAGCCAAATCTCTCCTTTTCTCTTCTTCTTGTTCTTCCTGTTCCATACCCAATAGTGGGACTCTCTCCTCTTCTTCCTGTTCTTCCTGTTCCATACCCAATAGTGGGACTCTCTCCTCTTCTTCCTGTTCTTCCTGTTCCATACCCAATAGTGGGGTTGTTCTTCTTGGACCACTTTCAGGGATAGTGGTTCCTCGTCGAAGAGAGAACATTTTAATAACAGTGTAAATTATCCCGTTATAGAGAGAACATTATGATATAGATTTATGATAAGTGTAATTATCCCGTTATAGAGAGAACATTATGATAACAGTGTAATTATCCCGTTATAGAGAGAACATTATGATAACATAGAGAGAACATTATATGTAGTTATAGAGAGAACATTATGATAACAATGTAATTATCCCGTTATAGAGAGAACATTATGATAGTAATTATCCCGTTATAGAGAGAACATTATGATAACAATGTAATTATCCCGTTATAGAGAGAACATTATGATAACAATGTAATTATCCCGTTATAGAGAGAACCCCGTTATAGAGAGAGATGTAATTATCCCGTTATAGAGAGAACAGTGTAATGTTATATTATGATAACAATGTAATTATCCCGTTATAGAGAGAACATTATGATAGTGTAATTATCCCGTTATAGAGAGAACATTATGATAACAATGTAATTATCCCGTTATAGAGAGACCATATTATGATAGTTATAGAGAGACCCCGTTATATTATGGTTATAGAGAGAACATTATGATAACAGTGTAATTATCCCGTTATCCTGTAAGGAAGGAAACCGTCCTTGGAAGACGTCGACCCTGAGCCCTCTCTCCTCCTCGTTCCAGATCCTGCCCTGCACCAAGGTCCTGTACTTCGAGGTCCCCGACGAGGTGATGGTGGAGCGCCTCCTGAACCGCGCCAAGACCTCCGGCCGCGTCGACGACAACGAGGAGACCATCAAGAAGCGGCTGGCCACCTTCCACAAGCACTCGGAGCCCGTGATCCAGTACTACAAGGAAAAATGCGCCACCATTGTCGCCCTCGCTTCTCCCGACGAGGTGTTCGCCGAGGTGCAGAAGGCCCTCAGCACCATCCAGTGAGGAGGCGGTCCCGGAAACTCGCTCCCATGTCCCCACTCCCGCGTATTCCTCTTCTCCTCCCCACCCTCCTCCTCCTCTTCCTCCTTTTCGCCTGGCTCTTGGGTTTCCCCCTTTGTGGGCTCGCGTCTCCCACCCCTTTGGCGTCTCCTTCTCCGTGTCTGTCTCTCGTTCCCGCTCTTCTCTGGTCTTCCAAGGCTCCGATCTCCCGATGATGTCTTCCTCGACAACCTCCAGAACTATGCATTACATTAATTTAAGAGTGACTTCGGAAGAAAGCAACATAGTCTACGCATCTGACACGAACACCGTGACTCATAGACTCGAGGAAATGAAAACCATCTTCCTCTCCGCGACCTGCTACTCTCCCAAGCCAGAGAGTAAGGTCCCGAGGAAATTAATACCATCTTCCTCTTCGCGACCTGCTACTCTCCCAAGCCAGGAGAGTAAGGTCCCGAGGAAATTAATACCATTCTCCTCTTCGCGACCTGCTACTCTCCCAAGCCAGAGAGTAAGTCCCCACGGCACACATAGCTAGACTTCACGATTCTGTGTCTTGTCAACCTGCTCGGCAAAAAGCTTAAAATCCACAAAACACGAGTGAAGGGAAAAAAAAAAGCTTCTTGGATAAACCGACGTACAAGTGTCTCTCACAAGGAGGTTATCTTAATCTAGTTCAGCGATGGACTGCGCCCTTGTCTGTAGGAACACCGAAAGTCCGGCGCCCATATTGGGTGGTCGACGTCCGTTCTCAATTGTTATTATCATCATCGTCATCAACTATCATGTTTTTCAGTCATTGCCATATTTTTCTTGGTGGATAATTGACTTAATCACAGAGGACGATTCAACTGATACTTTTCGGACTTACGGAATAAACTGTGACTCTGGACTTGTTGTCTGACGGTGACTCCCTTGACAGCTTTCTTGACATACATCGGACGCCTGGAATTGGAATAGAGAAAAAATAATTCAATTCTATTGTATTTATATACTAGTTAGCACCATTTAAACCGCAGTACTATTTATAATTTATTGATTATAAATAGTACCGTATTAGACTGGAGGAGGAATTTTGACTCACAGGGAAACTTAAGACTTACTCTTTTATTGACTGACGGAGGAAAGGACTAGAATAGCACAAGATCTGACTTATAGAAGGTATTTATGACTTACTGACTAGACCAATGAAGGAACTTCTGACCCAACGAAGGAACCAGTGACTGATCTAAACAGCTGACAGGAGAATCCCAGAAGAATTGTGACTGACAATAAAAAGATGTGTGACTGATGAAGCTGACGATAAATAATTATGTTTAAATGACAAAAAATTAATATGCTTGACTGATGAAGCTGTATGACTAACGAAGAATCTGAGTGACTGATTGACTTAAGAGACCGCAAATTGCCAAAGAAACTTAAACTGTTCGAGGAGACTGTGACTGATAAAGTACTGAAGACGAAAAAAAAGTGCAAATGACAATGCAAAATCAAGACTAAATATATTTTGCTTCAAGAATACAAAAACTGCGACTTTCCGGCACAACTTTGACTGACTGTAGATAAGAACTTTGACTGAAACAGGAATGACTGACTTAAATGGATAACTTTTTTGATAGACTATGACTGACTGAATAAATTAAATAAGAATATGTGACTGACTAAAAGAAACCAGGTTTGACTGAAGAATATATGACTGATCCAAAATAATTTACTGACTAAACTTATGACTGACTGACCAAAAATAATTTACTGACTAAACATGAATGACTGAAATAATTATATTAATTACTCATGCCAACTACTCTCTCTCACAAAAATAAGACAAATAATATGACTCCTTGACTGACTAAAGAGATTTTAAACCCAAACTGACCTGATAAGTCATCTCGTGACTTACTAAAAACAAATATAAAAAACAACAACGTGACTTGAGTGAAGAGGATGAGACCAAAGACCAGAAACCAGAGACCGAAGACCATAAATAAACTTAACGTTAAACAAATAAACATCAAGACGAACCAGAATAAAACTAATACAAAAAAAAAAAATAATAAAACATATTTTAGGGTATCACATGATATAAATAAGAAATAAAGAAATAAAGACTAATGCAGACTACTATATTTAAGTGTTCAATTATGACAGATATTGATGACTGACATACAATAGACAGACTGAATGGCATATAAGACTTTGAACTAAGTAGCTGTCACGTCTGGAGAGAATAACTTAGAGGATATTAAAACCCCAAAACTGTAGGACACAAGACAGCCAGACAGACACAAGACAAACTAGACAGACACTAGACAACCCAAAAAAAAAAAATGTAAAACTCACTAGACAGACACTACATGTACTAGACAAACAGACAGATATTACATAGACTAGACAGCCAGACAGACTACATATACTAGACAGCCAGACAGATTACATACACTAGACAGACACTACTTACACTCGACAGACAGAAAGACATTAGACATACTGACAACCAAAAACCCATGAAAAGAAACAGACAGATTGACCCACTTTAGACAAAGACAAATTTCAGACGAGGCCCTAAAAAGACCAACAGACTTCAGACTCTTGAAACAGACAGACAATTGACTGACAAGACTTCTTCTTTGACTTCACTCAAAGACGAAAAGACAAATGGAATTAATCTGGAAAAAAAAGAAAGACTTCAAGACTTTAGCAGAAATTCAGACAAAGACTTCATACTGTGGAAATGACACTGACATGAACTGACAAACTATATACCGTTGAAGTGACTTAAGAAAGGCACTAATTAAGACTTTAATACTGACATTTCATAGGACTTACAAGATTTCAGATTAACACTGACTTTCTTGACAGGACATGAATCTGGACATAAAGAGTTACAATGACATTTGACAGGACTTCAGAGTGACACTGTCTCTCTTGACAGGACTTGAACACTGTCTCTCTTGACAGGACTTCAGAATGACACTGTCTCTCTTGACAGGACTTCAGAGTGGACACTGTCTCTCTTGACAGGACTTCAGATGACACTGTCTCTCTCTTGACAGGAACACTGTTTCTCTTGACAAACCTTCAGGTTAACACACACTCTTGACAGAACTAAGAATTGACACTGACATTTGACAAGCCTTCAGATAACTGCAGACATTTGACAGAAATAAACCTTATGACTGACATTTGACAGAACTAAAACTTCAGACTGACACTTGACAGGATATCAGATTGACAGTGATTTGACATGACAGATAGATATGACATCACAGTCACGTGACAGAGACAGATGGGCGTGTACTGACAAGACGGGGCAATATGACAAGGCAATGATGTTATGTAGATGTGATTCATTGAAAAAAAACGTGAGTCACCGTGACAGACCCTTCTGACTCACCATAATGACCTCATGACTCACTTTGATAGACTCTCCTGATTCACTATAACTCACTGTGGATAAC